ACAGACCTCGCCAGGCATGCTCAGCTTGAAGTTTTCACTTCTTCATAGCACTAAAGCAAATTTATGAAAGAAAACATTTCAGGTTTCCATTACTAAATCTTCTTGTGAAAAATATGTTCAGTGAAGAAACGTTTAGTGAACATTTACTACAGTCAGCTCTTATAAAGCTCCTTCATATAGAGCAATTTTTTTGCAAGTGCAACTGAAAGAGTTCAGTGAAAATTTAATAGCACTTTCTATGAGGATTTTTCTATCTACTTTTCAATTTTGAGTGTACTTCTCAACTGTATTTAGGGAAAAATTGAATCATACAGTGGCTGCTCTTAACTATAACTATAAAGCCATTAACCAGATGCCATGAATGATTACATGGCCTCAAAAATTACTGATAAAAAGACAGCCACATCTGAACATCTGTTAGCCCTATGATATTGGGTTAATATTTTTTGTTTGCTACTTTCCAAGAATACATCACAGTTTATTTTTGCACCATTCATCGACATATTTGCTCCAATAACAATCAAGAAAATATTTTAAAATCTCCAAAACTCACAACTTAAAAATCCACTTTTTTTTTTTACTTTACTGTACCAAACAAATAAGAACCCATCACAACTGCACCAAATGATGAAATATCAAAGACAAGTGAATATGATAAATAATAATTAGAAAAAAAAAAGTGGGATGGTGAAAATTAGTGGTGGGGGTGAAGGGTTACAATTACTTTACCAAATTAGGTGGTGTAGCTGACAAGTTAATCCTCACTCCACTAAATACATTACTGACCCCACATGCATAAATCACAAATATAGTTCTACAGACAATACTGTCCCTGGATTCAGTAGAAGGTTGCAGAGTCATGGCTCTTAGATATTAGCATCTCTTACTTCATTACCCCAAGTTAGTGTAGTGTGCAGATTAGGAACCTGGTCTTCAAGTTATTTCTACATATGATACAGAATGAGACATCTCATCTACACTATATTAATTTGAATATTTTTTCAATTCTATGTGATAAGCACATAATTCCTGTGTATTTTCCAGTTTGGTTATCTTACCATCCTCAAGATGACAGAACAGCATTCTAAATGACAGCAAAGTATTTTGAAGAGTAATTAATATTCCACAAATAGCATGACATCTCATTATGAAAGTTCTCATAATCAACTACATTTCCTGGCCTTGTCTACATATGCATTGTTATGCTCTCTAAACATTAGTTGTTGTTCTTCTTTCAACGTACCAGCCGTATCCCACCGAGGTAGGGTGGCCCAAAAGGAAAAATGAAAGTTTCTCCTTTCAAATTTAGTAATATATACAGAAGGGGTTACTAGTCCCTTGCTCCCTAAACATTAGTTATCAGATATTAATATTCTTAAAATATCTGTTCTCACCATTTTATGAAAATCTGACTGTTTTAGATCATGTACATATGGTACAGTATTGGTTTGAGTTCCATATTTTCCATATTGAAGCAGGTGTAATTTGTCATTGTTGAGCTTTTTTTTTTTCCCTGTTGCCCAGTGGAATACTTGAGTGACAATTGATTGTAATTTTTTTTTTTTGTCATCTACCCAGGCAGCTTTTCTGCTGGATCATCATTCACAGAATGTAACAAAATATAATTGATATTTTGTTTTATGCAGTTCACTTTGCATTTTTTTTCAATGACTTATGATGAGGTTATACAGGAGAAAGTGGTAAACCCACTGGAATCAGGTAGCACTTGGCAAATGAGAGGCAATTCAGATGAATTCAAGGAAAAGGCTCAATTTCTTGAATCAAGAACCCCTATCAGTATAAAGGCACTTCACTCAAGGAGAGAGAATGTGTAAAGGCCCAAGCTTTTTTTTTTTTACTAGGCAAATTCTTTTTGTTTACCGTCACTCTGTGATCCAGTGAAAATTTGACTACTACAGCTCCTCCCTACGTTATCTGTTGTGCCTTTTGACTTCATTTCATAAGCTAGTATTTCATTGTCAAATGCCTTTGCAATAATGTCTAGGGTTAGGAATTTTTTTTCTTACAAAGGGAGGAAGGAATATAATGTAACCCAGAAGCTGGAGAAACTATTCTACATAGCTTAGTATCTATTTTTTATATTTACATGTTTGGGGTGCCAGGTGTAAATGATAATGGGAGCCCTTTGATTGAACTTTGTATAGAAAGGGGTTTAGTTATAGGTAATACATATTTTAAGAAAAAGAGGATAAATAAGTATACAAGATATGATGTAGGGCGAAATCACAGTAGTTTGTTGGATTATGTATTGGTAGATAAAAGACTGTTGAGTAGACTTCAGGATGTACATGTTTATAGAGGGGCCACAGATATATCAGATCACTTTCTAGTTGTAGCTACACTGAGAGTAAAAGGTAGATGGGATACAAGGAGAATAGAAGCATCAGGGAAGAGAGAGGTGAAGGTTTATAAACTAAAAGAGGAGGCAGTTAGGGTAAGATATAAACAGCTATTGGAGGATAGATGGGCTAATGAGAGCATAGGCAATGGGGTCGAAGAGGTATGGGGTAGGTTTAAAATGTAGTGTTAGAGTGTTCAGCAGAAGTTTGTGGTTACAGGAAAGTGGGTGCGGGAGGGAAGAGGAGCGATTGGTGGAATGATGATGTAAAGAGAGTAGTAAGGGAGAAAAAGTTAGCATATGAGAAGTTTTTACAAAGTAGAAAGTGATGCAAGGAGGGAAGAGTATATGGAGAAAAAGAGAGAGGTTAAGAGAGTGGTGAAGCAATGTAAAAAGAGAGCAAATGAGAGAGTGGGTGAGATGTTATCAACAAATTTTGTTGAAAATAAGAAAAAGTTTTGGAGTGAGTTTAACAAGTTAAGAAAGCCTAGAGAACAAATGGATTTGTCAGTTAAAAATAGGAGAGGAGAGTTATTAAATGGAGAGTTAGAGGTATTGGGAAGATGGAGGGAATATTTTGAGGAATTGTTAAATGTTGATGAAGATAGGGAAGCTGTGATTTCGTGTATAGGGCAAGGAGGAATAACATCTTGTAGGAGTGAGGAAGAGCCAGTTGTGAGTGTGGGGGAAGTTCGTGAGGCAGTAGGTAAAATGAAAGGGGGTAAGGCAGCCGGGATTGATGGGATAAAGATAGAAATGTTAAAAGCAGGTGGGGATATAGTTTTGGAGTGGTTGGTGCAATTATTTAATAAATGTATGGAAGAGGGTAAGGTACCTAGGGATTGGCAGAGAGCATGCATAGTTCCTTTGTATAAAGGCAAAGGGGATAAAAGAGAGTGCAAAAATTATAGGGGGATAAGTCTGCTGAGTATACCTGGTAAAGTGTATGGTAGAGTTATTATTGAAAGAATTAAGAGTAAGACGGAGAATAGGATAGCAGATGAACAAGGAGGCTTTAGGAAAGGTAGGGGTGTGTGGACCAGGTGTTTACAGTGAAATATATAAGTGAACAGTATTTAGATAAGGCTAAAGAGGTCTTTGTGGCATTTATGGATTTGGAAAAGGCGTATGACAGGGTGGATAGGGGGGCAATGTGGCAGATGTTGCAAGTATATGGTGTAGGAGGTAGGTTACTGAAAGCAGTGAAGAGTTTTTACGAGGATAGTGAGGCTCAAGTTAGAGTATGTAGGAAAGAGGGAAATTATTTCCCAGTAAAAGTAGGCCTTAGACAAGGATGTGTGATGTCACCGTGGTTGTTTAATATATTTATAGATGGGGTTGTAAGAGAAGTAAATGCGAGGGTCTTGACAAGAGGCGTGGAGTTAAAAGATAAAGAATCACACACAAAGTGGGAGTTGTCACAGCTGCTCTTTGCTGATGACACTGTGCTCTTGGGAGATTCTGAAGAGAAGTTGCAGAGATTGGTGGATGAATTTGGTAGGGTGTGCAAAAGAAGAAAATTAAAGGTGAATACTGGAAAGAGTAAGGTTATGAGGATAACAAAAAGTTTAGGTGATGAAAGATTGAATATCAGATTGGAGGGAGAGAGTATGGAGGAGGTGAATGTATTCAGATATTTGGGAGTGGACGTGTCAGCGGATGGGTCTATGAAAGATGAGGTGAATCATAGAATTGATGAGGGAAAAAGAGTGAGTGGTGCACTTAGGAGTCTGTGGAGACAAAGAACTTTGTCCTTGGAGGCAAAGAGGGGAATGTATGAGAGTATAGTTTTACCAACGCTTTTATATGGGTGTGAAGCATGGGTGATGAATGTTGCAGCGAGGAGAAGGCTGGAGGTAGTGGAGATGTCATGTCTGAGGCAATGTGTGGTGTGAATATAATGCAGAGAATTCGTAGTTTGGAAGTTAGGAGGAGGTGCGGGATTACCAAAAACTGTTGTCCAGAGGGCTGAGGAAGGGTTGTTGAGGTGGTTCGGACATGTAGAGAGAATGGAGCGAAACAGAATGACTTCAAGAGTGTATCAGTCTGTAGTGGAAGGAAGGCGGGGTAGGGGTCGGCCTAGGAAAGGTTGGAGAGAGGGGGTAAAGGAGGTTTTGTGTGCGAGGGGCTTGGACTTCCAGCAGGTATGCATGAGCGTGTTTGATAGGAGTGAATGGAGACAAATGGTTTTTAATACTTGACGTGCTGTTGGAGTGTGAGCAAAGTAACATTTATGAAGGGGTTCAGGGAAACCGGCAGGCCGGACTTGAGTCCTGGAGATGGGAAGTACAGTGCCTGCACTCTGAAGGAGGGGTGTTAATGTTGCAGTTTAAAAACTGTAGTGTAAAGCACCCTTCTGGCAAGACAGTGATGGAGTGAATGATGGTGAAAGTTTTTCTTTTTCGGGCCACCCTGCCTTGGTGGGAATCGGCCAGTGTGATAATAAAAAAAAAAATAATAAAATATGTCTTATTAAAATATTTTTTCAAAATATTTGTCTTAAGTAGGTTAAAAATGAAGAAAGGAAAAACAGGAAACATGAAAATAATAAAAAAAATACAGTACTGACCTTGACAGCATCTTGGAACATTCTAGTTAAACAATAATGTTAACAAAAATATAATTTTAGTTACCCATTGTCATCTTACAAGGGTCCTCAGTTATGCAAATCCCTTTGCAGTTTCCTCCCTGAATCCCTCACATTATTACTAATAAACTTACCTTCATTTGGCTTCTTCACAAATTTTACTCCAAGAGATTCAAACCTCTCGCATGCTTTTTGTACATCTGGAACCATGATTCCAATGTGACCTGAAAATATATAAATACATTATAATTTATTTAAAAGATAAAAGACTTAATTATTTAACACACTGACCATCTCTCACTGAAGTTGGGTGACCCAAGAAAAGGAAGTATATTCACAATCATTCTGTTGCTGTCTTGCTAGATGTGTGTGTAGATATCACAATGCAAATAACCACTGCAACTGTTATATCCCCACAACTCCCTCAAAGTGCAAGCACTAATTCCTAACTCCAAGACTCAAGCCAGCTAACCAGTTTCCCCTGAATTCCTTCATAAACATTACCTTGCTCAAACTCCAGCAGTATATCAAGCCCTAAAAACCAATTGTCTCCATTATCTCCAACTGAACATGCTCACACAAGCCTGCGGGATACTGAAGCTGATAACACTCAAAACCTCCTTTACACCATCCCTTCCTGGGATGACCCTTATTTCCTCCAGCCCCCTCCTCGCTGCAACGTTTGAAATCCACACTTCACCATACTCTGGTACATTCCCCCTTTTTGCCTCAATGGATAAAGTGCTTTGTTTCCACAGATCCCTCAATGCACCTGGAGTATACCTGGAGAGGGTTTCGGAGGTCAACACTCCCCCGTGGCACAATCTGAGACCAGGCCTCATGGTAAATCAGTCTGATCAACCAGGCTGTTACTGCTGGCCGCAAGTAAACCGACGTACGAACCACAGCCTGGCTGATCAGGTACTGACTTTAGGTGCCTGTCCAGTGTCTTCTTGAAGACAGACGGGGGTCTACTGGTAATCCCCTTTATGTATGCTGGGAGGCAACTGAACAGTTTTGGGCCCCTGACACTTACTGTGTTGTCTTAGTGTACTCATGGTGCCCCTGCTTTTCATTGGTGGAATGTTCCATCTCCAGCAGTGTCTTTTGCTTTCATAGAGTGATTTTCGTGTGCAAGTTTGGTACTAATCCCTCTAGGATTTTCCAAGTGTATATTATCATGTATCTTTCTCGTCTGCATTCCATGGAATACAAATCCAGGGACTTCAACGGTTCCCAGTAATTTAGGTGCTTTATTGCACTTACATGTGCCGTGAAAGTTCTCCGTACATTTTCTAGGTCAGCAATTTCGTCTGCCTTAAAGGGGGCAATTAGTGTACAGCAGTATTCCAGCCTAGAGAGAACAAGCGATTTGAAGATAATAGTCATGGGCTTGACATCCCTAGTTTTGAAGGTTCTCATTATCCATCCTATCATTTTTCTAGCAGATGAGGTAGATACATTGTTGTGGTCTTTGAAGGCGATATCCTCTGACATTATCACTCTCAGGTCCTTCACATTAGTTTTTCTCTCTCTTGTGTGGTCAGAATTTGTTTAATACCTTGATAAAGCTTTAATTTCCTAAAGTTTTCCATATCCGAGTAATTGAAATTTCTCTTCGTTGAACTTAATGTTTTCTGCGACCCATTTAAAGATTTGGTTGATGTTCACTTCGAGTCTTGCAGTCTTCGATGAAGGACACTGTCATGGCAATTTGGGTGTTATCTACAAAGGAAGACATGGAGCTATCGCTTACATCTCTGTCTGTCAGATATGAATGAGGAAGAGGAACAGGATGGGAGTGAGTACTGTGCCTTGTGGAACAGAGCTTTTCACTGTAGCCACCTCAGACTTCACTATTTACTATTACTTTTTTTCCCTCCCCCCAGTGTTTCAACGACCAATTCATCAAGTCCACCCTCAAGTATCTTAACATACATTATACTTCCTCCAAACTCTCCCCCTCCCTAGATTTTTTGCTACTCTCATCACCTTGCTCTTTTCTGTGTGTGATCCAATTTTCTTCTTTTATATACCCTCCCAAATTCCTCCACCAACCTTTGTAACTCATCTTCAAAATCTCCCATAAAGAGCCTTGCCATTGGCAAATTAATTATCTTTTAATCCCACAAGTCTCCAACACCCTAGAATTCACTTTTTACAATCCCATCTATAAATATGTTAAGCAATCATGGTGACATTGCACATCCCTGTTTAAGGCCTACTTCATTACTGGAAAATAATTTCCTTTCTCATGCATATACCGAGTCTCACTACCTGCATAAAAACTCTTTACTGCTCTTATTAACCTCATACCTATTTTATACATTTGCAACTTCTGCCACACTGCCCTCATGACAAAAAGTTCCTTACCTTTATCTAAGCACTGCTCACTTATATACGTGAATGTAAATATTTGGTCTACAGATACCTAAATCATCCTTGTTCCTCTACAATCCTCAGTTTTACTCTTAATTCTTTCCAATAATAACTACCATACAATTTATCCAGGATGTTCAACAGGCTTATTCCTCTATAATTTTCTTCTTGTCCTCCCCTTCCTTCTGCAAAGGAACTACAGTGGACCTCAGGTTTTCATCCTTAATCCATTCCAGAAGGTCGGTCAAAATCCAAAACGGACGAAAACCGAAGTAATATTTCCCATAAGAAATAATGTAAATCCAATTAATCCGTTCCAGACACCCAAAAATATTAACAAAAAATACATTTTTTAAAGAATAAACATAGTTTTACATACAGAAAATAATGACAAATATAAATGACTAATGAAATGGATAAATGAGCATTTAAATAACTATTACATATCTTTATTGAAGACTCATTGGTGTATGGAAGACGGCGAAGAGGGGAGAGGGAGGAGAAATTTTTGGAAGGTGAATCCCCCTCCATAAGGACTTCAGGTATCAAGTCCCTATCTGGGGTTACTTCCCTTCTTTGTCTTTTACTGGCACTGGACCCCTGTCACACAAAATATCTGTCCAGAGAGGTCTGTTTCTGGAGTCTAAGATTTGCCTAAAATGGGACGAGACATTGACATTGACCACGTTGCAGACACTGCTTGCAACAGCTTTGTTAGGGTGATATTTCTCCTTAAAACTTTGCAATTCACTCCACTTTGCATACATGTCCTTAATCACTGAAGAAGGCACATTCTCCCCTCTCTCTTCCTCCTCCTCTGAAGCAATTTCCTCAGCTGCAATCTGTTGCTGTTCCAGTTGAAGGTGTTGCAGCTCTTCAGTGGTTAGCTCTTCCCTGTGGTCGTTCACCAACTCTTCCACATCCTGGTCACTCACATCCAACCCCATGGACTTCCCAAAAGCAGTCACACTCGATAAACAAGCGCAAAAAACAATGGATTATTATGAAATGTTTCTGATGAACACACAGGGTAATGCTCTCAACAAAAATCAAAGCCAGACTGACTCAGAATGTGTGGGATGCTTTGTGTGGGTGCGGGCAGGCAGATACGTTCGATATGGCAGACCGATGAAAACTGAGGTGATGAATGAAAACTGGGACAAAATTTTGATGAAAAAAGTAGTCGAAAACTGAATTTGATGAAAACCAGGGCAAACGAAAACAGAGGTTCCACTGTATATGATGAACAAATATACCAACCACTCAGACTACATCCACACCTGCCTTTAACATTTGTCTTAATTCTATCTCAACTGCTTTACTCCACAGCATTCTACCCACTGCTTCATGCATTTCCCCCACACTCACATCAGGCTTTTCCTCAGTCCTACATATTGTGCCTCCCTTTCATCAATAGCTCCTCAAAATATTCTACCTGACCATTGCTGTCACTTTCCCGTCTGACTTCTTCCTACTTTTGTTCTTAACTACTAAATCCATTTGTTCCCTTGGCTTTCAACCTGTTAATTCCAATCTTATTCTCAGCAAAATTTGCTAATATAACCTTACCACTCTCTCTCCATATACTTTTCCCATCATATATGTATTTGCCTCTACACTGTAAAAACCTCTGCCTTGTCATTCCACCAATCGCTTTTCCTTTTGTTTTTTTCACCCACATCCACCCTCCTACACTCAAATTTCTGCTGCACACATCTATTCCATACTTCTTCATCCTCATTTCCTGTACTCTCTACCTCGCCTTTCTCCAAATAGTTTTACATATTTTTTTATTCCAACTATCTCCTCACTAATTTATTAACTTTCATTTCTCTCTTACCCACTGATGACATTCTCCTTGTACCCCCATCTACCTCTTACTCTTGCAGTAACTGCCACTAAATAATGCTCTGACAATTTTGTTGCCCCCTCTAAAATCATGCACATCCAGAAGTCTACCCATCAGTCTTTTATCTACTAATACATACTAGTCTAACAAACTGCTATCATAATGCTCCATTCCATATCTCAGCTGCTTATTTATCCTTTTCTCTTAAAATAAGTATTTATTTAACCTCTTTTTCTGAAAAGAAGTACTGCCTATTACCAAATCTCTTTCTATGTGTAATTCAGTTAGAAGCCCCATTATCATTTACCCCTGGTACTCCAAATTTACCTACTACACCATCATGTTGTTCCAACTTTAGCATTTAACCCTTAAACTATCCAAACGTAGATCTACGTCCATCTGCGGGGAGCTCCGAACGTAGATCTACTTTTTTTTTTTTTTTTTTTTTTTTAACTTTTTTTAACATGCTTTCAAATGGGGAAAATCAAGTTTGGAGCGCTATGCACGTGAACCTAGATCTACGTTTGGACAGTTCAAAGGTTAAGTCTCCCTCAACAATTTTCTCACTTGATTTAAAAGTCCCTTAACATCTGCTTAATACCTCCTAAAATCACTCATCTCTACACACCTCTCTTCCCCAGGTGCACAAACACCTACTATAACTTGCTTCTCATATTGCTCCCTTATTCCAGCCCACATAAATCTTAACTTTAAACAATTATACCTTTCTTCCATAGTCAATTATTCAATATTACTGTTACCTCTTCTTTAGTTCTAGTTCTCTCAGATACAACCAATTTAACTCCATTTAGCCCTCACCACTGAAAATCTCCCACCCTCCTTTGGCTTTGTTTTGCTTAGTACTAGGTAATCCACCTTCCTTTCATTCATAACACTAACAATTAATTCTTCTCATCTGTAATACACCCACAGATATTCAGAATTTCCTTCTTTTCCTTTTTAGTAATTAATACAGGACAAAGAGTTACTAGCCTA